TCTAAAAAATCAGACCCGCAAGTACCCGCGCAATTCAAATTCGTAAAAAACGCCAACTCAAATTAATTTATTGTAAAAATTTTAATTAGTTTTAAAATTTTAATTATTATTAAAATTGTTATCATCTATTGACTTCGAGGTTACCGAAGATTTATGTTTATAAAAATTATTAGTAACTTTATTAAACAAATCCATTAGATACCGATTGAAATATTATCGCAGCATGTGTAAAGTAGATAATGAAACTCAACTCAATCTAACTATTTCCTATTAAACGAAATATAACTAAACATAAATACGTTTTAAGATAAATAAAAGCATAAAACCGAAAAAAAAGACGAAATTAAAATCAGTACGAATGAAAAGATGGAAAAAAGAGAAGGCCGAATTGAAATTTAATTTTTCAATTTTACGTATCCACGGCTCTATTCATAAAATAACGCCGCAGCAAAATGCAGTTTAAATCAAGAAATAGAGAATAAAAAAGGAATTGAAGGGCACGCTGCAGCGGGGCCAGGAGACAAAGTTTAAAGAAAACGACGCGCGCTCCGCGAGCAGAGATTCCCGAGATGCACGTACTCATGCTATATCTCTCTATCTCTCATCGCCATTAAAATTCCTTTTTTCGAGCTTCGCAACCGCCCTTTAAGGCGCACGTCACTCGAAATATATATTCAAATATCGAATAACACAACTCGGTGGTAGCAGCAGCAGCGGCAGCAGAAAAAGAAAGAGAGATATACCTATATGTATAATAAAAAGCCTCTTTTCATTTTTCCACGATGCGCGAGTCTTTTGCGCGAATATATATGAGATCCGTATCAAGCGCATGCAGGTATGGAGTCGGAATATGCAGCATGGGTTCTCTATCTATATGTACTAAGAAACGCGCAGTGCACTTATATAAAAATCAAAAACTCGAGGAAAGCCCAAATAAAATTGCACTGCTGGAAGATAGAAATATACTTATATATCGAGAACTGTGCACGTCTATATGAGTACAGCAGCAGCAGCAGCAGCAGCAGCAGTAGTAGTAACAGCAGCCACCAACGCGCACGATAATAAAAAAAAGAAATATATAGAAAAACGAGTTGCAAGAGATCGACGAGCGAGCGAGAGAAAGATCGGTATCGGCTCCGGCGATGTTATAAGTGCATTCGCTGCTTCCGCTCCGTGGCCGTGCGCAGCAAATACACAATATCTGTGTATATATATCTATATATGCAACGTGTAAGATCGGCTTCGCTCGGTACAATCGGCGGCGGTGCTCGTGTGCCGCCACCGCGCCCCCCGCGCGCGACTTTTCAGATCATACGTGTCTTGTATCCTATACACAACATCGAGATAAAGTGTAGCAAAAAATATATATATATCGTAGTACGTGCAGTCATGCACCTCCCGCACACACACTCACGTGAGAGAGTCGTCGTCGTCGTCGTCGTCGTGAGCACCTATGCACACACGCGCACAAACACACACGTCAGCGCGCGTACAAGAGAGGACAATTTTTCCTCTTTCCTCTCCCGTGACGACGACGACGACGACGACGGCTTTTCCTTCGAGCCATCGAGCAGATCGAGAGCATTTCCGCGGATCGGGGTCACTTTTCTGTTTTCTTTTTCGCGAGCTAGTATATAGCAGCATAGTATGTAGTAGCTGCAGCAGCAGCAGCGGCTCTTCTGGGAACGAAGAATGGGCCGAGTGCGCGCGCGTGAACAGCTTTCACATTTTCTCCGCGCGCGCTTATATAGATATATCGTATCGTCGATTGCAGTAGCAGCAGCAGCAACTTTGGCTTATATATTATAGTCTACTGTATGGACTCATCGAGATTTTGCGCAAACTGCCTCCCTCTGCCTTGTATACAAATATAAACATGCACACACATTGAGAGAGGCCTCAGCGTGTGTATGTGTGCGCGTGCTGTATCGCAAACCATCCGCGAGCTCAATAGCCTTTTATACATCGAGAGACGAGCCTTATAGTCGCCTTATTTTTCTCCTTTACTTGTTCATCTTTTTTTTTTGCCTTTTTATCCCCTATTATTTCTTTCTTTTTGCCGCATCGACGTTGCTGCTGTTGTTGTTGCTGCTGCTGCTGCTGTTGTCGCTGCCTTATGGAGCTCGTCGTCGTTATGATAAGCGCGCAGTATAAGCAGCGGAGGCGGCTTACAGTACGGGGGGGAGTTCATTGTCGTCGATTATTTTGTCGTCATCGTTGGCAAAGTTCGAAGTCCGGTATATATAAGCAGCCGAGCACAAAGGCGCGTGTATAGTCGAGAGTACGCCCTCGCGGTCAATTTATTTTAAAGCCCTCCCCGAAAGACCGCCACGAAGATCTATATATGATACTTTGTAGCGAGCCTAATATCGCTTCTTCTCCTCTCTGTCCTTTATAAGCTCGTCCCTTTGCGAGCTTTTTTGAGCTAGTGATGCGAGACGTATATCCCGAGTCGATGAGTACGCGTATATACTCTTTGTGCTAAAAATTTCAGTATACAAAAGTCGTCCACTTATTATACCCACAAAAATACGATAATAAAAAATTTTAATTGACCCACGAGCGCGCGCTCATCGACACCTATGTATAAATGTGTCAAAACCGCTTACATCGACGTTTATCGCCTCGATTCGATCATAAATCGAATTTAAATCAAAAATCGTGAGAGATAAGAGAGCAAAAAAATAAGTAAATAAATATATAAAAAAGCCAGAGAGAATAAAAATTCGGAGCCCCGCATACCAGAGCATATTACGGAGAAAGAAAAAAAGGAAAAAAAACAACAATCCAAACAAACAACAGCGCATGAGTTCATGCGATATTCTCGGAGCAATAAACCGATCACTTACCCGCGCGAATAAATAAGTAGGCTATTTAGCAGAGTATAACAGTGCTACGTTACGCAAGCGATGAAATACGTACTACGTATCCGAAGATCCAAGTATATAACGCGAAGAAAGAGAGAGAGGAACTAGTGTGTGTTTACGCAGGGACAATAAACTCGCGGCAGCCCGCGGAGATGACACCTATATACTGCTCCATCGATACCCGTAATACAGACATTACTTCTCGCACCTATACACGTAAAATACAAACAGTATACACGTCATCGCGCGCGCGGTACTCCGTAAACGATCCCCTAAATTGCATCTCTCTATAATGTATCGGCTGCTGCTGCTGCTGCTGCACTCGTATGTATGTTTACTACGACACAATATCTGCGCGCGCGCGTAAATCTCGCGGGGCTTTTATGCTCCAACGGAGCTCGAGAATGTGTGTGTTGTCGTCGTTGTTCAACGTATAGCTACCCTCCTCTCTAACTGACGATCGATTCTCATCGATTTGCGCAGCTCGCGTAATATCGTCGCTCACAAAGAGGTTTATAAGAAAATAGCTGCATGTGTAGCTTATGTAGCGTTTAAGCCAGTCTCTGAAACATAAAAGCCACGTTTATTTGTGAACATGTGCATGCAAGGGTAGTAGTAGTAGTAATAGTATAGTAGTACACGACCAGTTGATTCTTTTGCTCGTGTCCCTGCACGCTGCAACCCGCAACTATTCGAGGAACGCACGTAATATACATCGAGTTAAAAAAAAAAAAAAAAACTACTCTTGCCACACACACGCGTGTATACCTACGTCCTCGCGCGGAAACCTATATAATATTGCAAGCTAGCTGGCATGGCAGTTGTGTCGGGGATAGAGATCGATCGACCGATCGACCACTCGTCAACGGCACAGCTCCATTCATCTCGCCCCAAAAAACATCTGGGGCCTCGTCGTGTATATATATAAAAGTGACGAGCGATCGAGCGCGTTGATGGATCGTAATAAACGGGGCGCGTGTGACAAGTCGCCTTGTGCGTTAAAAGTACGGGGCACAGGTCCCGTTTTAGCGTATATATAATGCGGAGCCCCCGGTCGAAGATCGATTACGCGACGTTATAAGCGTCAGATTTTTTTTTTCTTCCTTTCTTCCTTTTATACAGCGAAGGGTTCGTGTTTTTTCTTTGCCCGGCGTTAAAAAGGAATCATTGCTCCTACTAATCGTTTTCCTTTTCATGCGTCCGTACGTACCAAACGCGCAATTGTGCGTACGTGTGAAAGGAGAGAAAGAGATTATTCGGGTACATGAGCGACCTCCTCTCACTCTCTCTCGAAATTCACTTGAAATCTCAGCGAGTAACGTGTAATAATAGTTTTGTCGCTGCGACAAAAGCATACATATGTACGTCTCGAGTACACAGTATGATTTCGTCTTCCTTCTATACTGCCTTTACTCGCCGTCTTCTTAAATATATGTCAAAACTCGACGACGTTTTCTACACATCTCCGAGTATTCAAGAGTATATCACTCTCGATTCTCTCGCGGCCCAATATCGCTGTACACACAATAATACGACGCGCTATACGCAGAAATGTCTGCCTATCAGCGAGAAAAAGCTCGCACGAAATAGCGAGACTCTTTCGCTATGTCGGAAGAAACCGATTTATATATTGTTACGCGTACTCGAGCTACGCGTGTGCTGCTACTGCTCTTTCACTCAAATTGATTAATTAGCTTCTTGCGCGCATTATTCGCTTTAATTAGCCTCGGCTTAATCTCCACCGCCGCCGCCGCCACTACCTGTGCGTTATATGGCCTGTGTGCGCGATCTCACGACGACGGCTAAAACACATCGCCACACACAGCACATACACGGGGCACACTATACTTGGTGACAAATGATCCCACTAATCGCTTTCTTCCTTATACACACCATCAGGGGCTCAGGGGGGATCTACTTTAGTAATTTACGCACGCGCGCGCGTACTACGTTGACGACGACGAAGCGCTCGATTTCAAAACTCGTTCGCAGCACACAGCGTACCGCGATAAATCAGCACGCGGTCTAACTTTCTTCGACTTTTTTTTTGTTGCTTCACCTCTTTACATTATCATTATTATTATTATATACACACATCGGCTTACCAGTTTGTTTTTTTTGTATTGTCAACAGCTTTCGGTGACAGCAATCACTTGGCCGCCGAGGAGTCCTCGTTCAACGCCGATTACGCTAGCCCGCCGAGCACCTACCTGTCGGACGGACCCTGGGCCGTGCGCGTCCTGCCCGACGGCAGTCCCGTGCCCGAGGACAGATCCTCATCCTCGTCGTCTCCTTCCGTTGTTTCGTCGTCGTCGCATCCCACGAGCCCCAGAGACGAGGACATCGAGGATCTGCGCGCCGATGCGAGGCCGGCCTTCCACGAGCTCGAGGCCTACAACGAGATCAAGAGTCCGGCGCGCGAGATGATGCCACCCGCGATGCCACTGATCAGACAGCCACCTGTTAAGAAGAGCAGCCGCTTCATCGCCGTCGTGCCGATGAGCCGGAGAGGCAGCTACGTTTACTATCACCCGGCGGTCGCCCGAGTCATCAGGCCGATTTATTACCAGTCGATTTACTAGATCGAACGACGATCGAAATAAATTACATGTGCGCGTGCGTGTGTGTATATAAATACGAACGATTGACGCGAGGCGCGTGCCAATTGTCAAAGACTGAATATTGTTGTTGTCGTTGCTTTTTTTTTTCTCGTCAAACGAAAAAAAAAGAAGAAACAAATCATGTAACGACATATTACATACGTACGGCGCACAGTCTCGTTTTGTTTTCTTCCTCGAGACGTTAATAATTGTACAAAGTTATCAAAGGTAAATAATCTTAAGGACCTGCTGTTGTATATTTGGTATGAAACTTTTTTGAGTGTGTAAATAGCGTAATAGGGAATCGACGTTGTAAATATTTCACGGCCATTTACTCCTTCATTTTATTATCGTATTGTTTCTCTCGTCGCTCTCTCGAGTGCCGAGAACTGCTAGCACATATGCGTATTAAGATTTATCATTGTATAATGGCAAATATTCGCTTCCTGAAGCACAGAAGCTCACGTGTGAAGTGTGCCTGCATAGCATGTATGAATGTATGTATTGAGCTCCACACACACAGGCTAACAAGAGGCCTCCTATGTCGACGCGTGTGCAGCATGTTTTTTTTTTTTTTTAAGTACGGCCGCGCCAAGTAGCGTTCGCGTATTATACAAGTATGAAATATTTCGTTTATTACAAGTGCCCCCCGAGTCAACGATCCTCGACGGCGATATCGCTTAAATACATTGTGTGTATATCGCTGCCGGCGCTGAGGTTTTGGACGCGCCGTTCTCGCGTAATGACTCATTGTGTTGTTTTGCGATTTTCAAGATCAAGTATAAAATATAGCAGCCGCCGCTCTCGCGAACCTGAATTTTTTTTTTCATCATTTTTTCTTCCTCGTTAATTAAGTGCGAAATATGTGCTCGTTCTGTCTGTGTGCGTGTGTGTGTGTGTGTGTGTGTGTTTGCGAGAGTCCATTGTTTCCACGCGCGCGCCCGAGAGTGCCCGATACATACACACACGTGAATTTATCGATTTCCCGATTTTACTGGGGCACTTTACGGGTTTTCGTTCTTCTCTTTCGCTCGCTCGCGGGCCAGCAACGGGACGTCTCGCTCGCAGAACGAGAGCGTGCACGCATACACTTAACTCTATAACTGCGTATGTGTGTGTATGTGTGCGTACCGAAACTATCGAAACGCATTCCGGACACGAGTCTATGAATTTTTTTTTATTTTTTACCACTAGCTCGAAGCTATTCGCGAGTGGGTGCGTATAGCTATATGTATCAATAGAGTCGAACTTCTATATATATCGTTACTGTACTATATATTTGCACCGTCAATGCGAGTAGAGCTCTGAAAAACCCGACTAGCTTTTTTTTTTCTTCCTGTAAGCTGCAACTGATTTTTCGCACGCAAATTGCAAAGAACACGGCAGCGAAGAAAAACGTGAACGTACAGTGTAATCCAACGAATGATTCGCGCACTCTGGCTAAGTGCTTAGATGATTGTTGCAGTGCGCGAGAGAGGCAAGTCCGTGTGTGTGTGTGTATTCGTCGCACTCTAAAAGCTTGCGAGGCGCTTCTAGTGTAATTTTATTTTTTATTTTTTTTTCCTATTTTATTTTTACCACTTCATTGTGCATATATGCGAACGCGATGATTGACTCATTTGCTATTGCTGTACGTTCATATAGTGTCTAAGTGTATGCGTGTGAGCGTGTGTGTAAGTTGGATGTGAATTGATGTTCGATTGTCCGCGGTTGATGATGTCATTAACATTTCATGCCGATCGTATTACTAGCTAATATATCGTTTGTAGCAATTGCGAAAACAAAAAAACAAAAGGAAAAAAAAACCACAATAATATTATTTTGTAAATATCATCATCGATTGTTACATCGCGACCTTCTTCATTTTTGCTTTATTGATAAATAATAAGATTATTAGTAGTTTTAAATCATTCGCTTTATTGCTCATCGTGTCGATGCGCAACGCTAATTTATTATTATTATTATTATTTATAAGCCGATCGCCCGAATCGCCCGATGCGATTTATAATAATGAAAAAATGAAAAAAAAAAAATAAAATAAAAGATACAAAAACAAATACGAATCCTCGTTGTGCTCTATTCAATGCTAATGCGTATACAAGCAAATCCTTCCTTAATCCCCGCGCGTAATACGCGCGTCGCTCGATCGATGGAAATTATATATCGGATTTATAAATGAAATCATCATCGTCGTCGTTGCCGCTGCTACTGCTGGAGTGGAATGAAAAATTTGTTTTTCACGCGCTCACGGGCGTGAATTAACGCACGCGTTGTTGATGTTTTTTTTTTATTTTGCATCGTCTCTACAGGATACGTACACACGATGGTACGCATCCGCGGTCGTAACAACCAATTGGAGATGAAAAAAAAATCATCGACAAATATGTAATCACGGTGCGCGTCGATAAAGCAAAAATGAGAATTTAAATGCCGCCTGTACCACCGCCTGCAGTATCTGCTGCTGCTATTGGCAAGTTAATAATAATTCATTTGGCAAATTCGAAGCGATTTTCGCATCGCCTCTTCCGATCGTTCCGCGCGCGCGAGCGCACGTAAAATTAACGATCGATTCATCCGTTGCATATTTTGCATTAAAATCGATCGGAGTGGAGCCAGCCACCCACGCACGGACACGGATGGACGGATGGACGGAGGGACGCGCGCAGACGAACAACAAAACGATTAAACGTTAAGCGTAGTGTATGGGGATATAATAATAATAATATAATATGCAGACACATACACACACAGGCCGCGGCCATATTTATGCACCCGGAAGAGAGGATCAATAAAGAATTAATAGCCGTGTTAATCGGATTAATGCAGCGCGGAAAATAATCGCCTCGTGCAGAACAAATGAAGCCAAAACACGTCCGCCGCCGTCTATGTATTATAATAGGGGGGAAATGCAACGAACGAACGAACGAACGAACGACAACAGAGAAAAAAAATTATAAAGTTGCGGCCGCGTTGATGAAAACAAGGAACGAAAAATGTAAAAAAAAATATGAAAAAAAAAAGAAACTAGCTTCGTCGTAGTCGACGATGACGGTATAGTATATAGTATAGACAGAGTGTGCATTAGTATACAACGAGAGAGAGAGAGAGAGAGAGAGATAAAAAAGATATCTCCTGCGAGGCGAGCGCAAGCTCCGTAGCCGTGTATAAACGCGCGCATAGTGTACAGGCGCAGCGGCAGCGGCCGCGTGGTGCGCGCACTGGTGCAAAATAAAATAATGATAGTTTTTTCTCTCGTTACTCTTACTCTTTTTTTCGACATTTTTTTTTTGGTCGGTCGGTTCATCGTCGTCGTCGTCGTTGTGTGTATGTGCGCGACGATGATCATAAAGCAGAGTATTTATATACGCCAAGTTAGCGCGCGGCTACATGGCGAGCGAAGAAAGAAACTCTGTAGCCGGTGCGGCTGCTGCTGCTGTGCACAATGCGCGCGCGAGGCCTATACATTAAAAGTGCTCGTGCGCCCAGCTGTCCGTCTCGGCAGTTTCATTTATATAAACGGGTATAATAACGCGTGTATGCATACATATACGAGAAACGGAAAATCTTAACGACGACAAGTACGAGAGAGAGAGAGAGAGAGAGAAAAGGAAACGGACGTAAGCAGGAGGAGCAGCAGCAGCAGCACGTGGCAGCGCACGAGTGTCACGCACACGTACAACCTTTGTACTCCCGCGCTTAAGTACATGTGCATATATGATGTTGTACGTTTATATGTACATATTATTACGATTGTGCGCCTCTTACCTTCGTGCGCGCGCGCGTGTATTTCATTAAAGCGCCCGGCTACACACATAGACACACACAAAGAAGAGAGGATGGGGGCGAGACATTTAAGGGCCGAGCCAAGCCGAGAGAGAGAGAGTGAAAGTACACTTGGGCGTGTGTGTTTATACATACGTGCACTTACAATTGCACACATTTATGCCATTAATTGCTACGAATTCATGTCACTCCAAATGTAAACACACATGCAGCAGTAGTGGCAGCATCAAGTGCAGCAACTGCCAATCGCCATCAGCACTCGTGCATACATATATCTATAGTTTAAGTAGTTCTCTCTCTCTGTGTCTGCATAGGTGTGCGCGCATATGGCGCGCGCACGGGGGTTGGTTGCATATTACAATAATACATACCCTGCGTACATACACAGAACCGATATCGGGCCAATTGCTTTACTATGGCTAGTCGCAGTGCAATGCGTGTGTGCGGCGTAAGCGAATTTTTCGTTCTCCTCTTTTTCATTTTGCAACTACTACTACTACTACTACTACTACTACGTAGAGCTCGATCACCTTTTGTATATATGCTAATCCCGTAATGAAGTTTATCGAATAATAATGATAATAATGGGGTGGGCTGCCGGCCGGCGCAGCTAGAGAGCTCGGGTGCTTTCTTTTAATTTGTCTCTCTCTCTCTCTCTCTCTCTCTCTTCTAGAGTGAATGAGAGAGAGAGAGAAAATACGCGTGTGCCGCAGGGCTGTGCGTGGCTTTCATTTTTATGCAGATGGCACACGCTCTCACTCGGTACTGTATACACGCTCGGCTATGCAGCTTAAATATTATACGCCCCGGCCATAGTCTCTCTCTCTCTCTCTCACTCTGGCTCTGTCTCACTCCGCGTTTTGCAATTCTATTTGATCAAGGGGTTGGCCGCAGCAGCAACAGCAGCAGTAGCAGCGACAGGGGGTGTACGTTTATATGTATAATATGGTTGGGCTACTCAAGGGAGAGTATACAGGCCAGCAGCAGCTCTAAATCTCCAAATAGTCTTCGTATTTACAATGTTCTGGCCATGCCGATTAAACTTTTTGATTATTCAATAAAGAAACGAAAGAGAGAGAGAAAGACTATGTATAGTAGTGCGCAACAGCAGTGGCACCGCCCCGACGTTTATTAGCTTAGCCAGCCTCTCTCGTTCGACGGCCGGGGTTGTAGCACAAGTGTCGACGCGGATCCAACTTTATAGCTACTACTGTCTGTCTGTTGTGTACGCGTAATGTATATACAATAAAGCTCAGCTTGTCTCTCTCTCTTTCTCGATTCGATGCTCGTTGTGCTGCTGCTGCAGCTTATTTATGCTAAGTTAGTTTCGGAGGCCTATATTACAGTCGCGGCAATAGACGAGGGTCGTTGTTGCGCGCGCCCCGAAAATCTCGGGTGCCAAAAGCACCACACCATCGATGTACAAAACAGACATTACAGTCACGTTGCGCGCACCGAGATTTTTTCTCCTCCTTTTTTCTTCTTTAGCTCCTTTTTTTTGCATCCGTTCACACTCAGCTGCCTACTACACGGGCGCGCGTATAACGACATAATCTTCAAAGCAGCGGCGGCAGCCGAGCTTTTGTGTCGAGGCGCGCACATTACGATTGATTTTATAATCACGCGTGACTGCAGCGCGGCGCGTGCATATATAAGGACTATGGAGCAAGTACACGTGTACGGCATACCCTTATGGATCGTAGCGGTGTATAGGTGCGGTGCATACAGTCGCCGCCAAACACACACACATAAACACACTTCCATACACAAAGCTGTGTCGCCGTCGCGCGCGAGCTTTTCCCGAAAATTTCCATTCTATTGAATATGTATAGAGAGAGCGAGCGAGAAAGAGAGGCGAATATAAATGCAATCATTCGGCTTACAATGCGGATTATGTTCTTTGATGAAATTTCCGCGCGGACCCCCCCTTGCCGCTTGCCAATATATGCATATAGCGTAGTATATAGGTATATATATATCGGGGCGGTTGGTGGCTGTGTCTATGTGGTGGCGGCATTGTATGTAGATTTTGCGTCGGGCGCTCGTTGTTTTGCGCTAGCTCTGCTCTCTCTGCGCGCTCGACGCGACCGACCGATGGAATGACGATATTATTTTACATTTTCTATACATATAAATACCGCCGTAGCTGTATACAGAAAGAGCTGCCGCTGCTGCAGCTAGAGCCAAAGAGTCGAGTCAAAAGCGCGGCGCGTGACCCAATAATAATTTATGATACTTTGAATGCATATATCTATAGGGCTTAGACAATTCTACTGCTGCTGTTGTACACATCGATGTGGCGGTGCTTGTTGGCCGTTGTATAAATATAATAAATACAGCACCCCGAGTCAGGCCATTCGAGGCTGATGCTGCTGCCGTTGAGGCTGCAAACTTTAGCAATCAGTGCTTGGCGTGGTATAGTATACGCGCGTGCTCACTCCACCCGCCTGCCCGGCCGCTCGCGTTGAGTGACATTTTCCAAAAGGAAATTTTTCAACAACTTTCGTTGTTAAGAACCCTCTCGAGTGTGTGTGTGCGAGCGAGTGAGCGAGTGTGCCCCTTATTCACACGCGTGGGAAAGCACGAGAAAAAGAGCTGCTAGCTTAGCTATATACATATCTGTGTGTGTGTGTATATAAGTCGCACCAATACTGCAGCTATACTGTACTAGATGCTGCCGCCTGGGCAATGTTTAATTTTGTTTTGCCAAGAAACGTCGTTGGACGATATAAATGATATTAAGACCAAGTTTTTCATTGCTCCAGCTTTTTCTTTCTCTCTAACAGCAGCAGCAGCAGCAGCACTCGGGCAGTAGAGGCAAGCGGAGCACACAGGCCGTGGCACGAGGCGGAAATGCAACATAAATCTATTGTTCAAACTTTTTTAACGGCTCGCTCCCGCCACCACCGCCACCACCACTGCCACGCTCAAATACGTGGAGTGCGTATTCTTTAACCTTAATGTGCGCTCGCGAGCAAGCTAGCTACTAGCTAGCTTCTGGCCAGCAGCAGTACCAAGTTCTTAATTTTATCCTCGATGGCCTCTCTCTCTGGTATTATATGCGCAGCACGACGACGACGACGACGACGATGGTCCTCCTCGCCTCGCGCCGGGCTATTGCGCTGCACGAGGGTGTGCGCGCACGAGTATCCAACTTTTTTTTCTCCACCCACCTCCCACGCGTACACACACACACGTACACACGTACGCGGAAAAGAAAACTACTAACACACATACATATATATAGGCAGTTGGGACAGTAAAAGAGACAGCGCAAGGA